CCCCCCCTCGGGACGCTCCAACAAAAAACAAAAAATCTGAGCCAATTTTGTAGATGGTGGACAAGTCAAAACTATATCAGTAAATGTCAACAAAACAAAACAAAACAAGGAAGTAAACCATACAGACAGATCTATCACGTGCGCCTGGTCATGGACTAAAGGTGAGCAAATCTAACACGGGGGAGGGGGGGGGCAAAGGTCAAAAGTCAACCAGTGTCAATGATACGAGAGTGGCTGCTGGGATTGAGCCGTTCACTCAAAACACTATCAGGAATTATAACTTTCCAAACAAAACAAAACAAAATATAAATATAAATAAGGTCACCTGCTTCGGGAGTGAACATAAAATCCTTCCTTATCACTCACGGAAAGATAGGAGAAATATACCACTACATACAGCTTTCTGAGTGGTAATGACATACGTTTTTTGGTTGGGGAGTCAGTATATGACAAATCAGTTGGGAGTCATTCTAACAAATCAGTTGGGAGTCATTATGACAAATCAGTTCTGTAAACGAGTTTTCAAGAAACAGCCAGACCCCAGACTTATAATGATAAATACATCATACACATGTATCTCTTTGTAAAACTAAAACAAAAAAGAGGGACTGGCATTTCACTTTTTCTTTGTTATTGTTGTTATTTCGTTTTGGTTAAAGCATCCAGGCGGAAGAGCTAGAACTCAGATGGCAGCTGGATCGAAAAAGGAAAGTAAATTCAAGTAAAGTTAAAACATCAGTTAAAAATATCATTGATCAATCAAGTGTCAGGGAAATAAACAGAGCCCAGCCACAAGTTGACAGATCAGATCTAGAGACAGTTGGAAAAACACCGTGGCCATTTTCTGGAGACTTCCGTCCAAAACAAGGAGTGTCTGTATACATCTATGTATGTATGTACCGTTCTTCTGTGTGTAAAATATATTATGATATGACATTGTAAAATAAAATCCCAGATCATTTTTTTTTAAAAGTGGACTAAAAAAATGGGGAGTTTTCCCTCCTATGATGTCATTATAACGAAACGAAGAAACTGGACATGGTGGGGG